ATCTATTGAAGGAATATATGGCCACCCGAAAGGGCTGCTGGAGGTGCTCCAAGAAGGCAACCACGGGAGTTCTCTCGAAGGCGCCTTCTATTTACAATTGCAATAACCGGTATTGTTGTTCTCTTCGGTTCGATTTTCTTCCAGAGGAAATCGGATCCAAGTCCGGTCAACTAATGAAAACAAACCTCACAGTAATAATGCATTCTCTTTGTTCATATGGGGACCTGCTCCTTATGTATTTTACGAGTAAAATCCTGCTTTCTTTGATTGGTTAACAATCCTCTGTGAAGGATAAATGATTTAATTATCTTAATATTAATGAATGTGATTTGATGAATCATTTGTTCTGCTCCATTCTCTGTATGAATGTAGGATGACAATCGATCATTTGACCTTGAAAACAAAGCAAAGCCAGTGGATAATTCGTTACATTTATGATGAGAAATGGAAACAGACCCAAAACTGGAAAGAATTTTTATGGAAAGTGTGAAAGCATTCACCCTGTCTATTTTTTTCAAGTGATAAAACAGTTAGGACTGAGTCCGGTTCGGTTCGGTTCTTAACATATTTTTCAAGAACCAGAACCCAACCGAAACAAAATAACTGGTTCGGTTGACACATAACTATTTGCAGGAACCAAAAAAGAACCGAACTGTTATAACGATTCGGTTGACACATAACTATTTGCAGGAACCGAAAAAGAACCGAACTGTGTTATAACGATTCGGTCTTTTTGTTCTTTTGGTAACTAAAATAATGAAAAATAACCGACAATAACCGGTTTTGTTAAGAACCGATAAAAAAATTGCAACACACGTACTAAAAGTATCCTGAAAAACCGAGAACCGAAATGTAAAAATAAGGAACCGAATATTACATAACAAGGACCGGTTATTTCCTATATAAAAAGATGTTTGGTGTAAATAACAAAATGAGATTTTAAAAATGTAAATCCCACAAAATGCTCATTTCAAAGAAGTTTATATTGGACACTTTTTCAGAAGTAATTTTTCAAAAAGTCCATCTTGAAATGAACTTCTCAATAATAAGTGCTTTTAAACAAGCACAACACTTTTTAAAATCTTAAATCAAGACTTTCAAAAGTCCAAAAATGTATAAATTAAGTACACAAAAATTTCTGAGTTTAACAAGTCTGCAGAAATCTCAAACGAAGACACTGGAGTATATTCTTTTGGAATCTCAAACGAAGACACTGGAGTATGTTCTTTTGGAATTTTAAGTAACATTTTACAACTTTTTGAGATTTCAATTTTTAAGACTTTTCAGATTTAAGAGAGATAACGTAAAATCTTAAATTTGGAGATGTGATTTGGAGTGAAATTTCGTATATATATTTTTTTCTTAAATTTCCAGTAAATCTTAAAAAGACTTTTTAAAATTTTGTAATACTTTTTAAACTCGCAAATGAATAACTCAATACTTATAAAAGTCTTAAAAAATCTAATTTAAAATATAGAAAAATGCTACAATCTTGTTACAGAACTATTTTATTGAGATTTGTAACCATTAGATCATCATGTAACCGTCGCGGATAGTTGATCTAACAGTAACAAACCTCGACGGAATGATTCCGTAATGGAACCCTAGAATCTCCCTAAAATATAATAGGATTTTTTAAGTTTTAAAAAATGTTTAAAAATCAAACAGCAAAAATATAAATAGCTCATCTATTGGTTTCTTTCCCAAACATTTCAATTTTCAGTCGCACTGGACTGGAGCACACACGTCCCCTCAAGATCGGGCTGAGTTTCCCCGCTGAGAAATCATGGTGAAGGCCGTAATTGGAGACGAAACTCGGCTCAAATTCGCCGAAAATCGCTTAGCTTCCTCTGTCCTTCATTCTCAGGTGCGCGACATTATGACCTAATGCTTCAGAGATTCAAATCCCCCTCCCTTCTTGCCTTATCAACTAATTTCTGTTTACAATTCGTTCTTATTCAAAGTTTTATGTCTCCATGTAACCGAGTTAGGTAGGGCTTGTGCTCGGGAAACTGAATCCGAAATTAGATAGAGGATTCGTGTATGATCTGGTGCCCACACCGCCTAGTGACGGTGGTGAACCGCCGTGTTCGGTAATCGACGGTCCTGGAGAAAGTAGCAATATCAAGAAGAAGAATACGTCCAAATCGAAATCTCGGTTGGAGTCTTCTGCGCTGTGGATTGATCAGGAGTGGGTCTCTGAGCATGCTCGCCAGGTCCGATATTAGTGGCCTTCAAATCATATAGATTCTTCATAATTCTGCTGCTTAATGCTGTCTTTCATCGGGTTCTTAGCATGATTCCATTTGGTATTAGTGTAACTTTCTTACTGGTTAGGTGAATGTAGTAGTTCAGTGTGTTTGATCATCAGACTAGTCAACTTCTGGGGTAAACGGTTGTATAAATTGAAAAAAAGAAGTTATTTTGGCATAAAAAATTGATATAATTTTTGACATTAAATAGTGCATAAGTTTAATGTGATTATAGACACAAACATTTATATATGACTTAATAATTATTCACCTTTTTTTTTCGGTTTATAAGACTTTATTAGCCTTGAGTTTTATCCTCTTTGAATCATGTGTCTGATGTTTCTTGGTCATATACACATTTTGCCTTCAATTACTATATTTCGTAGCAGGACAAAGATTTTTAGTAAAATAATATTACTTTTGTGTTTTAGACTTTTTTTTCTTTTTTTTTTTTTGGTCGTTGCAGTTGATCAAAATATTTGATTAGATACTAAATGCAGACCATAGAAAGCAATATTAGAGTTAAAAATTCGACCTAACTAATGATGGTGTACAACGTACAAATAGTTCTATTTTTTTTATATATTCATGAATATAATTTTTCATTTTGTTCATCCAAATATGTGCCTTATTGAAGATTGTAAAAACTGATCAATTTGATAGTATTATACATAAAAAATGGAGTAAAAACTATGTTTTTGAAGTTTTTTAATTTAGTAGTATAAATGTGTGTTACTCATAGAGTGCTTTCTCTTTAATAATATGTAGTCTGGGTGAAGAGGCACATAACAACTTAGGGAGTTGGGGACAACTAAGAATGAGCATTTTGGATTGAGAAAGGGAGGCTCTTTTTTCCTGTTTGTTGAAAAGTACCATGCATACCACTTCATCTTTGTTTCTTCTGAATTTGGCTCAATTAAGTTTCACTAGCCTACGAAGCTATTTATTGGCTATAGTTTTGATTTACTTGTTTTGGGTTTCATAATTAATAAGCATTGCTTGCATGGCGTGAATATATTAATACTTCATTAAGGTAACAAGAATATATTTGGCTTGCATCTGTTGATGATTCTCCTTCTCCTATTGTTTATGTTCTGCAAACATTACGGTTTAGGTCTCAAGAATGCTATTGGGTGGCGTGAAGGTGGTTGGTATCTACATATGGGTCAATGAAGGCTTGTTCAAGAACTCGACTATAACACTATGCCAGGTGTTGTTGCCTTCTTACACCCTTTCATTCCAAGGAGCATCTAGTTCTAATATCTGTTGACTATCATGCTTTTCGTGGTGGATATTAATCAATGATGATAAAATTTTCATCATGTCAAGTTACATATATAAATGTAGTAGTAGCATGAAAGCCTGTAAAGATTAGTACTCGTTCTAACTCTCACCATGAAGATTCCAAAATGTGGACGACCTTTTATTAAGAACTATATAGGTGACGGCGTTTGTTTATCGTTTTTTATGCTAGATTTCAACAAAAAAATTTATATTTAAAACTATAGCCTTCCTTTATTATTGAGGGTGTTGGGTCTGTGAGCTGTTCTTCGTGGTTACATGACTGGATCGGAAAGCAGTTAAGCAGGTTAACTGGTTAAGTTACGACACAATGGGGGAACAATTGAAATAAAAAGCTGTGAATACATCTGGGCATTTGACATTTGATTACCATTGCCATTACTGCATACTAACTGTACAAGATTTTATGTTGATTACAGACTGTAAAAGGAGTTGCTGAAGCGGCCTCGTTATTGATGACCGGTTGCAGTGGCGCATTGCTTGTTCATATCAGTCCTAGCCCTCTAAGGTGCTCAAAGGAGCACATATTTCCTGATGTAGGTATCTTCACTTTTAAAACAATAATAGATATTAAAGTATCTAAACTTGTGTTTTAGGTGGACATGCAAAAGTTGCTCGCTAGCAGCAAATATTACATCGAGCACCTTACGGCCTTGTGATTTTAGAACGGGAAAAGTGTTGGGTTCTCTTCAAACATTTAGATGCTCATACAACTTTGATTTAAGGTAATCACTTGTTCCTTTACTCTTACCTTCTTGTAACACTCTGGACTTGGTTTTTGAGTAAGTCCTTAAAGTAATTTTCTTTTCTGGTCATTCAACTTCTTCCTCAAAGAAATCATCTTGAATGAAGAAGTCAGAACTTCCTCATTTCATTTTTTTTTTTTTTCTCATTCCTCATTTCATTTGGTTCTGGTTAATTGTTTTTTTCTTGTTGCAGAGAGGAATGTTGCCTCATTTATCTTCTGTTCATCCCTTCCTATCTCTTCTTCTCCCTGTCCTCTCTATGCTTATAATAATGGGAGCTTGATTCCCGTTTCAATGCCTAAATCACATCTATATTTATGCTTTGTCTTTCTTCCTGCTATATTACCTCTACTAGATGAGGTTGCACGAAATTATGTTTTGTTGGAAGCTGACTTTTGGTATGAAATCTTTCTGTTTCCTATTAGTGTACTTTGGAAAATTTCGAATCTGGTCCATGCTCATATAAGAGCTAGCAATATTAGGTTTGCTTAAATTTGAATCTGAATTGATCAGCGAACCCTTACAAATCAATTCCAATTTTATTTGAAAATCGATGCATTGACCAGATGTTGTCTTGTGCACCTCCTCGCGTTGAAAAACTGAGAATCTAGTGAAATCATTTGACATGGAACCCATAGTGCTGATGTGGAATTCCTAGGGAGAAAAGCACCTTTTCAACTTAGTTGGGGTAGAAATGGTCCGTTGAGTTCGTATTTTGGTGATTGAGATGTGATGGTGGTGCCTAATATAATGATACTGGTGTTGGTTCTCTAAAATGCCATTTTATTAATCTACTTCCAAACTCATGTGGCATTTCAACATTATCTGAAGCCCAAGTTCTACGCAGGATGGGTTATTTACAAGTCAATTGAGAACATTATAATTTTTCGCAGCAAATTTATAATTTCCAATTTAATTTAGAGTGCTGCCACCTTCTGATGGTCTATTACTTCTCTTGTGTTGTGAATTGTGAGTCTGTGACATGGGAGCAACGGAATTAAATCAGGTGTATGTAATATTATCTGATGATATAATAACAATACCCTGGTGACATTCTAAAGATCCTTTCTTCTGTCCAAAATATCCCTAAAGATGGGGGCCGGAAATTGTAGAAAGGTTTATAAGGAAACTAGGATGTGAGGAGGTAGCATGTGGATACGCCAACCGACGGATTCAGATAGGTTATTTGAGAGATCGAGAAACAGATTCAAATAAGTGCAATCTTTATGCATGAAGCTAGAATAATCATATCCCTGAAGGCAATAAAATCAACTAAATAAGGAAACACAGTAAGAATAACGTGAATACTGTAAACAATATCTCAATAGAACCTCATGGACAATCTTACTCTTGAAAGCGTTTGAAGTGAAATTGTGGTTGTCACAGTATGTTCGTTCATAATTGGACTCTGTTTTGGTAGTAGCTTCTGCATGTATATCCCATGTAGAAATTGAAAATTAACTTGTACCCTTAAAGGCCCGATCTTTGGTTTTGCAGGACGACCACTTGTAGTCGCTCCTCATAAAACTTGGTTGATATTTATAAAGATTTACTTTCAAATATTCTTTTCCCTAAGAGATCTTGTATGATTTTTTAATCTGTACGAGTTTTAATTTTTGACAGAGAATGAGAACGAGAATACTATGTTTTATCTTATTGGTTGATAAACTGAAAATGTATAATATGTTTCCACTTTTCCTACTTAAAATTCAAACTTTGTTATATAGGGTTGTTTGATTTTCGTTTTCCACTGGCAGGTTGCCTGTAACCCACGAGGCTGGAGGGGATATTAGAAGATTCTCTGATGTTCTTCGTGATGAAATGATGGTCCATGCCAAGGAACTTACAGTAGCAAAAGCTTTGATCGATGGAAAATTGGTACATCCACCCACATCCTTTGAACTCCCATATTAATCACAGATTGCTAAGTTCTTATGGTGCACTCATGTTTGTTGATATGATCAGTGATTTATCGATATGCTGCCCTCAGATCTGCAGTATCATATGCTGAAATCATCTTTCGTTTGAAAACTAGGCAGCCCGAAGAAGGCACAACACACACACACACATACTTTTAAACTGTTCCAAAAGAGTAATGAGACAGATCCAAGATTGACCATTAACGAAACAACTTTAGGAGAGATACCTCATGCCACAATCTGCCCATTGTCTTCCTCTTCTCCGATTGTATCGGCCTAGCATGTAGTATCACACTAGACCTTGAGTCTTTAAGGCAGGCACGGTTGATTTTCTCTGTCCAGCAATAGTTTACACATACAGATAATGTTACATACTATTTCAGATCTAATGAAGACAAGTTATAGAGACGTTCCGTTTGTTTACAAACTAAAAAGTACCAAATATAATTTATACAATCAAGATAGGGCCATAAATCGTTCAACCATAAAACTTTCATTGACAACAAAAAAGCACTTAATCTTATTTGCTTACATTAACAAATGCATAAACCTAGATACTTTTTCTCTTCTTTCTTCCGTGATGTATCGGGTTCATGACTTTGGTTGAATGAATCTAGATATTTTATTTGCAAAAAAATAAAAATAAAAATAAAAATACATAAACCTTAAGAAATTGATAAAGATACATAGAAGAATACAACAACCAAGGCTTTGGTACCAATTGTTGGAATTATCTATCCTCCAATTTGGAGATGACATCTGCTTTTGTCAACGAGATAACTTACTTAAGGTGGTTAATAAGGTGGGTTTTCTGCAGTATTGCTGGCGTGAAATGTCAATACAGAAGTAAGCATACTCTCAAGTGTTAATCTGAATGGATTTGAAATCAGAGAATTAGCAAATAAGATTGGATGTTCCAAGAGATCAAAGAACATCCTAGGTGTTTAATCCTGTAAACATTTTTTTCGGGACCACCTTTGGCAAAACATTCATTGAGAACAAGCTGGGTGGAAAAAGGCATATGAGACTAGGGTGAAGAGGTTAGTATTAGTATCAGCAGTCTTGTGTGGGATTCCTGCTTGTTCACCGCTTTCATGCATTTCCAGAGGGTTTGTTCACATTACAGAAAATTCTAAGAATGGTGTTTTGAGGTACTATGACGTCAAAAAACAATGATATGATGTGAGAAATTTGTGCACAAGTGTTCTGACACACTCCTGGTCCTTTTGCCACTAGCCTGAATAAGGAAACATTCTTGTTGCCGCGTTTCTACGTGTCTGTCTTTTTTTATGGTTCTGGTAGCAACCACATAAGGCTTAGTTACTTCTACAAACATGGTCAGTTTCAACTAAGAAAGAAAGAGAGACTCTCCCTAAGATCTAATCCCACGGGAAATTCGAAAGATGGGAATATAAGTTCTGTAAAAGGGTGTAAAGTATGCTTCTATAGCTGCTTGACATTGATTGCTGTCTGTCTTCTCTTCTCCCCCCTATCAGGTGCAGGAAACTCTACAAATTTCCACTTTCTAAATGGCTCATTAGTACTACAGCTAGGCCACAATCTCTTAATCTTTGAGCTATTATTTTTTTTTTTTTTTTTTTTTTTTTTTTTTTTTTTT